CATAGTCCCAAAGGCCGGTTTCCGTCGTGAGGCAAAGCTGAAAAGTCCAAACCGAGGCAGAACTTGGATGAATCAGAGAAAGAGAGTCAGAGAAGGTTGGAAGCAACTCCATTTCATGGTCCCTGACAGCGGCCCTTGTCCGAGTCTCCTCTGCTTCAAAGACGAACTACGCAACGCTCAGAACGCAGCCTTGTTTCTATATAGAGGCTCACTCTAACCAAGGGCGAAGAGTGGATACGGGTAATATCTGAGTGCCGCGATCCATCCATCTGAATTCTTCAACTTCAGTCACTGGCGAAAGGGAGGGGGTTGTCTGGTCACCAGCTACATGGCAGACCTTGTGCCTGGGTAGTTGACACGTATAGATCTGGAAGAAAAACGACAAAAACCCATCTGATAGAAGCCGTCCGTTTCCGTTTTTGTCTTTCTAGACATGTAAATGATAGAATATGATGGACCTGCAAAGAAGAGCCCCCCTATCGCATAATGTCACGACAACCTCATTTCTAGCAAGTGAACTCCCCCTCCCCGTCTTCTCGCCTAGCTGTAATACCGGCACATAACTTCAACGATAAGAACGACAACAATTAAGTTTGTAAAGTCCTACCTCAATAATACCTTGACGCCAATCACGTAGGTGCTCATACTCGACCGAAACTAAACAACATCCCACCCATCACGGCCCATCAAACCTGTATAACAATGACAACACCTCAAAACACCGTCCAAAATCTAGCCAGCACAAGAGATCCCAAGCACACAACTCTCTCGAAGGACAGAAACCAGACCCCCCTTTCCACTTTAACCCCGCCATTCCATAATCACGGACACACCTATCCAGGAACCCACACCTACATAGTCATCACAAGCCAGTTGGCTAGGCAAGTAAAGAGGGACAAAGACCACGCATGAAACACCGACAGTAACATTGAGATGATGTGATGCTCATCTCAAAGTCATCTGCTGGAAAATCCGCGCATACATACTCGTGACAGTAAACTTTTGTTCCTTGTACCTTGGTAGGCAAAGAGTAAAAGATCATCTCCTCTCCTCTCCTCTCCTCTTGTAGTCACTAAACCGCACAGAAGGGAAATCAAAAAAACATCCAACTGGTCAAGAACAGGAAAAAGAAAGGTATCAAAGAAGTCCATTCCTCGCAGTACAAACCATAAGCGAGACAGACCCCCTCTTCAGCCGAACAAACACATTCATCTCCAAGGCCTACCTCACCGTAAAAAGACCTCATAAACCCGTCCCTGCGAAACACTACACCACTTACACAACGTTGCCTATCTCCGACTCCGGAGCGCTCCTCACTCACAACAAGGCCTATCACACCGCTATCCTCTCTCAACTGGTCTCAAGATCCAGAGTTCCCAATAGCCCCTATTCTTAGGAATCTCTCTGCAACTAGCAACATAATTTCGGAAACTCTCCATCATAATCTCAAAACAGAAGGCCTCGTCCAGCTGAAAAGTCTCAACATGTCACAAACATGAAATCCAACCGACCTTCGCCTGACATGTCAGCAACACACTTCCCCATTCAACAAGCGCACTCGTCAAAAAGTCCATACACCTTTCCTCTCCCAAGCCATCCAAAGAGAAAGATACAACAAAGTGGGGGAAAAAGACCACCTGCCGTAGAGTTTATCGCCGCAGAACGCCACGCCCAACTCAAACTCCAATGCCGTAGAGAAACCCGTAGCGTCCAACTGAAATTTCTTGGCAACCTTGTCGTCAGGAAAGCCAGCCGCAACAGCAGCATCAGCTGCGAGGAAAGCACCCCCCTCCGCCTCAGCTGCAGTAACGCAACCCGTCCAAGTTAGCAATGGACAAAGTCGAGCAGAGCAACCTTGCCAAATGCAGCCACACATGCAGCCAGAGCTACAGCTACCGGCATAGCTATACCTCGCAGACGAGGTTCACAGCCTGCCTGGATCCTTCACCCCGAGACACTGTACGAATACCCACCTGAATCTCTGGAGACAGGCACAAAAAAAAAAGCAAAGAGTAACGACCGGAAGCCATACCCGAACCATGATACCAATGAGGTTCCTCCTCAACAAACAATTAGTAGAAAGAGCAACAAGCTCCGGGAACCGGAGTGACATTCCCCGGCGCCCCCACCCCGCGCACAGTCCGCGATCAGCCCGTCCGCGCATGTCGAGCGACTTCGCTCTGCATCCTCCGATCTTGTCTTCCCCTTTCCCTGGCACATTGATTACTCCGTCCGAACTACGGGGGAAATCTGTTCCAGGTGCGTCCATGTCGACAAATGGCCATTACATGGTTTACTCATCTCCCCGAATCGATGGCGACTTACCTACAGCCGTCACAGTACAACTACGATATGTAACCTTAGGGCATCATGTACTTTCAGCCCAATTAAAGCTGCGGATAGATCCTGAGGGAAAACAAACTGGTGGGACCTTGTATGATACAATGTACCCGTAGCAGAGTTGGGAAAGCAAATGGAAACTTTAAAAAACGTTTGGCTTGGCACACTTACCACCACAGATGAAGAATCGTTCTGTCAATCAATGGGAATCGCCGAATGAGCCAAGCCAAACCCCAAAAATAATGGAGTGACAGTCGCAGGCGTGTCGACACAAGCCGTCTCCTATTCGGTCCCCCCTCAGCTGGGCACGCCAGGACAGGCTTTGGTCAATGGGTGGCAATTGGCAGAACGCCAAGTTTCGTCCATCAAGGACTGACTGCTTCTTCTTTCTGGGCAGTCCCTCGTCGTCGGGGGCCAGACTGCCCCTAGAGATGCAGACGTCGCCGACTCGGGCCTGGGTGGGAGAATTGTTCTAGAAGATCTGGGCCAAGGACGATCTCCTTCTTCGCCACTGTGCCACATGAGAGGAGAGATAAGCACTCACGCTTTCTCTCTCTCGTTCGGCATGGCAATAAGCCTGATCACGCTGGAACTGTAGACCATTTCCCCACCTGGACATGGCAGTCCTCATGCAGTCGGAAAATTCTGACGATAACGGACTCTTACCGAATGGCTACGTGGTGGTCACAGGCGCCGAACTCGAGTAGAAGAAAGCCCAGTGTGCCACGCCCCGTGTCCGTGTGCCCAACGCCGACCGACCCAGTGTTGAGCCGCAGAGCTTTGCGACGACCAGATCGTGTGCAGGATTGGACTGACCTGACCAAAGTATCTGGTACGAATACAGCAAGAGCGTGACTGCAAGACTGATTGGCAAACCACAAGTGAACCAGCCCGTCATCTTCACCATCCTCCATCATGGTGCATATCAGCCATGAGGGATTTTTCGAGATGCCGCATGTACGGATACGGACAGTGTCAGAATGGCCTGTTCCCTCCCACCCGTCCGGGATAGAGTCCTGGGGGGTGTGATTTCGTCCGGGATCAAGGAGCATCGTTCCATAACCGTAAACCACCGCCTGTACCCCGCGAACCCCAGATTGACATTCTTCCGCCCTTGTCGGGGCATGTCGTTGACCCAAGCGAATTCGGAGAGAAGACACCTGCTCAACGCGGTTGCCCGTCTGCTGTGGAACAGTCGTGCCGCGCAGTATTTGCTTACAGACGTGTTTGACGACCTGCAGCTCGGAAAGCTGCGGTGAATCGAAATGCCACTTCAGAAACAGAAGGCAGTCGCATGAGCATCCCCGGGATCAGGCTGGGGTAGCTCCAATAGGTCGTTTGCATCTCCCGCTTGAGAATGCAGCAAGCATTGAAGCGAGATTTCCAGCTCCTTTTACCAGCAGCAACAGCCCTCGACTCGACGTGCACTACATTGCTGGCACCGCAGCGCTAGCTGCTCCTGTCAGGCCTGCCGTAAAAGACCCGAGAGTTGAATGCACGCACTGAGTGAGGGAATAGAGTGAGACAAAGAGAAGTGCGGCGGGGGAACTCCAGGGCTCCCAGTGGCCTTTAGCTCACCGCCAGTTGGCTTGGCGGGAAACTGTCGTCGAGGGCTCGAGTGGGTGGAAGGGAACAGGCCAAGTTCGAGGGGACAATAGAGACGCAAAGAGAGGGAGAGAGGCCGGTGACGATGTTGACGGCGGTGGATTGGCAACGGAGGAGCTTCGATTGGAGGAACAGCCCCGTTTCGACTGCCAAGCTTTCCCCGTACGCCATACGGTAAATCCCGTCCTAAACGGATGTCGTGGCTTGGCTTGAAAAGCAAGCTAGCCAGCCAGCCACATCCCCGATCTGTCAGGAGACACACTCAACCCATTCCAGTCCAGTATCGACATACCATTTTGTCCTCGAGTAATAGATGGATATGATACATATCATGGAGGAGACTCCGCCCCCACGTTTTGCTTTGCGAAGCGGCACAACGAGACGTCGAATAGGGCTAAATTCAAAGGGCCCAGCCCTTCATTCAGGCCGCTGATAGTTGAGAATCAAGAATCGATAACCCCATTGATAATTCGGTAGATCTCCTTGGCTGTTCAATTCGATAGGAGGCGCGAACGTTCTTCGACCATTTTTGACTTGTCCAAACTTCGTCGATGCACTTGGCACTCCCCTAGCACGGTATGCAGCGGCGAAAAACTCTAAGACGCGTCTTGGTTCAGCGAGACATTATGTAGAATAAGCCACCGACAAGACGTGTCTTCTCTACAGCCGGCCAAGTCTAGACTTGCTGCTCGCTGTTCCAGATGGCATTTCTATGCGACCACCGATTCGAAAGTATGCAGATCCGTATCCAATCCGCTTGGAGTTCTGAGGAATATCATTTTTTGGAGTTTCAGCAACGCCATCCCAACAACTTCCAATCCCCAGAGTTGGGGGCAAGTTGGGGGTAAAAGCGGCAGTTGCCAGAGACTCTTAGTTCGGCCAAGCCAACGATACGTAGCAGGGTCAAATAATGCACTAAAATCTTCGAGGCTCGTGCAAGGCGCCGTTCGTTGCCTTGGTATCCGTCCAAATCCCACACCGACGAAGACGGGCTCGATGAGGGAATAGACCGAGGGTGGCCCTCCAATATCGCGAGGTCCGTTCCGCCCTGGCCGTCAATTGTCTTTCATGTCGCCCGGTTTTGCCTGATTAAGACGTGTACCCACCGGCGGCTCCAGCGTCGCCGGCTAAAAAGTGCGTAACAGGGCATGTCAGTCTATGGGGCCGACTTTCGGGCTGTCGGTCACTGGTACAAGATTCCGGGGCTCATTTCGGAGCATCTCGGCCGCCAAGTCGTCCGCGAGGATCAGAACGCAGGGTCTCTCGGGTTGGTACGGTCAACTGACAGTATCCATGATCCGTCCGTCCTCCCATTTCTCCCACAATCCACCCTTCTCCTCCGCACGGCGTAGCAGCGCCAGCGCCAGCGCCAGCGCCGAGGCCTGGCTCACCTCGCTATGCGTTGAGCATCTCTTTGGGGCCACCTGCAGTAGTGTGACAAGCGAGCCACTCACCGTATCTCCTCCAGCTTTGCTACAGTCACGACAAGCGTGGGGGAACAGCACTAGTCTTCAAAGTTCGCTCAAACATGCCGTGGCGAACAGGGCTGTCATAAAACCACCGGAGCACACCCTCACCTCTCATCATATGCCGTATTGATTGGTCTCGGCCCAAGCGAATATCACCCGACGCGGGTGACCACGAAGTATGGTGAGTTGATACGGAAGCGGTGACAGTCAGGTTGGCGACCTGAGCCGCTCTTTACGAGTGCTTCTCGAGCTTGGAACGCAAGACTGCAAAAGAGCGGGTAGTCTGACCCAACGGCGACGACGGCTGATACCACTCTCCCAGCTTCGTGTGGGCTCGCAATATGCGTCATTGACTTTCACAACTCTGAAGACTTCAGCACAGAAGAGCGAATGCAAGTTTAGTCTAGTGGATTGAGCTGTCAACGAAAAAAGAGTTCGGCCGAGAGGATACGTATTTAGAGGTCGACAAGGTGCTTGACGTTCGCAACATGCTTCTGGCGCGCCGAGCCTGCAGTACTCCAAATCGCGGTGCTTCTCGAGTCCTTTCCATGTAAGGCACAGAGGATGGCTGAGCCTTGTTGCTGCGTGTCAGCCCGTAGAGCGGCCCGGTCGATACACTGTCAAAACTCAACGGCATGGGCCGGAACTTCGCCCAGGGCGATCGTCAAATGCATTCATAAGAGCAACCGGTGAAACCGGCACTGACCTGAGCAAGTGGCTAGTCCGAGTCAACGAGACAGCGCTGCGAGCTAGATACATTCCGATATCTGGGTATGCTTATCCCGGTGCCGTTGCAGAATCCCGGAAGCATGCCGCCGGCAAGGGGCACAGACAGCGCACCAACGGTTGCATGTGTTGGTGATGAATCCATTTCGATTGATGACGATGCCTCGCGTCTAAGTATCTCTACTGTTGTGTATTGGGCATCTGCTTCTTCTCTGATTCTGCGGCAAGCATGGGTCAATTGTTCACTGTGCTTGCATGCCGCTTCTGTTGAATACGCTCGGTTCCAGTGCTGAAATTGCGTTGCTCGGCGCACGCTTTGCTCTCCATTACCAAGTGAATTCTGACGATCTCAACAGCCTTATTTCGGCTTGTTGAGCCAGCGAGCTAAGACAGTGTAAATATCCCAGAAGAAGAAGCTTTTGCCGCGTCGAGGTCTCATGCGGGCCAGTGCCCACAGCGATTGCGTTGCTTGGTGTCCTTTGCTGACGGCGCTGTGACAAGGCGCGTTCGAGACTGCAGGATTTTGGCGAGCGCAACCTCTTGTAACAACTTGTCTCGTTCCATTCCGAAGTAATTTCGTGGAAGCAAACACATAGCAGTGGTGAAGCACTGCCAAGAGCGACTGCGTAGTGCCCGTGCTTGTGATGAGCCAGAGGTAGAACATGAGGCGAAGGCACAGCCCGCTCCAATCTGTCTTGTCATCTCAATAATGGTGAGGCCAAGGAATTTGCCGTCTGTGTGAGTGAGACAACTTGGCCCCCATTCAAAGTCTGGTCATGATCATGTGAAAATCTCCCTGACTGTGTCTATCTCAGGGAGACGACCATGATGCAACAGCGCCAGCGGGTTAATATCGCATTTCGGAGCAAGGTGAGGCGAGGCGGTAAGCAGGTGAAGACGGTGTTGGATGTCATGTGCCGTCGAAGACGACATTTCCAACGTTTGGTACTGGCGCGACCGACATGAAGCTGCCCACCGTGGTCTTGGGAGCATGACGCACTTGCATCGTGAGCGTATCCCTGTCGTCTGGATCCCACGTCCAAGGGAGGCGGCTGGAGCATCGGAGAGTCGGCAACTGGTCGGGCGACCCCTGCTAACGTCCATTTTTGGCAGAGTGCCGCTTTACGCGCTTGTGATATCAAGTCTTCTTCGCGTCTTTCAAGTTCTCTATTCATCAATTCTGGGTCCGCTATCTTCAGCTGAGAACGAATTTGGCGATTCGGAGTTGATCACGCCGCCGGTACACGTTATTTTTTTTGCGGTCCGCAACAACATGTGACAATTGACTGTGGCACACAAGGACGAATGCCAGTCGACGCAATGTTTGGACCGATAGGAGAGATGAGCTCCGCGGACGGACAAAAGCAGGTAGGTACATGGCCATAAAGGCTATAGATTATAGACTGTACGGATAGAGTCCTCTGTTCTCGGCGTGATCGAGGCAAATAGTGCTTGGGTTTCGCGCAGGGTTCAGATTAGGGCCGTTTATTCTCGAACCAGGAGCCCCTGACAAGTCGCGATAGCGTTTATCGAATGGCGATCCGTAGACAATTGGGGAACTGGAGTACTCCACACGATTTTGGCTACGACAGCGAGCAGCGGCCTGAGAGAAAGGCCGAACGAAAGGTCACCCAAGAGCAGTATGAATCCTTCTGCAAAGACAGTCGGCCCCGAAATGCAGAACCACCACGTCAAAGAGCAGACCAAGACTGAAGTGACGACAAAAAGTGGCTATTGAAGTGCAGAGTGGTGAGAGCTTGCCGCGGACAGAGACCGATGGGAGTTCAGCGAGCACCCTTCGGGCCCCATTGACTTTTCGGCCCTTCAACAGGGCTCGTCCAGATCTGCGGGTTGGTGAAGTGTATCGGGATTCGGGGTGCCAGTACATGCGAGAGCGACAACGAGAGTCAAGCATCGAGAATCTTCAGCCAAACAATCACTGACAAGGATGTGGCGTCCGGGTGCTAGACTGTTCCTGGCGGAGACAAGATGATGGACGGTGCGAGGCGTTTTCTAGTGGACGCTCGAGTATCTGGACTGCTACAGTACCGTCTGTGTTGCTAGGTATACTTGATGCTCGGAGGTTTTGAATGTATTCCCTTTGACGCAAGTGCCGCTGGGGTGAAGATTCTCTCAACCTTCTCTCTCTTCCAGAGAAGGCGTAAAATATGATGGATTGAAGCAACGCAACCGTTCATCGGGGGTCTGCCTCACTGGGAACCTCGCATCATCTTGCTTCGTAGACAGGTACTTGGTCAGGTAACGCGTGAATTGAGGTGGTTGATAGACAGGTAAGGTGGGTGCCAAAGTGTGCCGGGTCTGCCGAGCGTGGTGTGCTGAGTGATCGGAAGAGGCCTTCTGGTTCGCGCCATAGCAGCCGACGAGTAGAATGGCAGTCGGCCCTGTCGGCCCTTTGGAGCGCTATTATTGTCGGCGACACTCCGTCTGTTCGACCACTAACCATTGAGGTCCCGACACCGTAGCGGGGCCTTTGGTTTGCTCACCGTATTCGATCTGCTGTCCGCTGAGTCTCGACTCTCGAGTGCCCAGTGACGGTGTGGCTGCCGTCCGGTTTGGTGCCAGGGACGAACAGTGCTTCGAGGAAGAGCCCTGACAGGTCCCACCGAGCCACCTAACAGTAGAGGATTGCGGTTGGTTGGCTGGATGGGGTGTGTTATTGAAGGGTTGTCTGTGGGTGACAGTGACAAAAGGCGCGGATCGCGGATTAGGGGTGGTGGAGGAGGAGGAGGAGGAGGAGAGCAGAATTGGAGGAGCCGTCGAATAGAGAGCTTGGAACAGTGGAGCATGGCAGAAGAAGAGGGCCTCAGGTGTGCTAACGTCCTGGGATCTTCCCATGACGGAACGGGGGACGTGGACCCTGCGCCTGCTGTTTCTCGTTCTTGTTTATCGGTGTTTCCTGATTTCGCGATAGCAAGTACGATACTCCGTACGCAAGCCGAGAATACTCCTTGCCTCCGCTTTCCTTCTCTCACACTGGACTTTCTTAACTACCGCACCGCTCATGTGAACGTGCCTTGTCTAAGGTATGTATCCGTACAGCGGAACCTTACCAAATCTCTCTCAGCGAGCCTTGTGGAAAATTGGTCAATCTACCAACCCAAACCTCGGTCTTAATCACCACTCACGGGCAGTCTCCGTGAAATATCTCAGAGGCGTGGAACTTTGAGCCCATGTTGATTTTGTAACGTATCGAATTGGGTGCACCAGCGCATTTGCGTTTGCTGCCTATCTCCGGTCACTGCTACGTTACTCCATCACTGTCCTATTAGTATTATCTATAAACCATGATCATGATCATGAACCGTCAACGCCCGCCTGTTTCGTAACCATCGTTAGCTGGGCAGCTTCGAATGCGCCTCAGAGACATGGAGACACAGATAGGTAGGGCATTATTCAAATCCATATGGAAATCGCAGCCGCAGCTACAGCCGCAATCACAATCGTAGTCACAACCTCTGACTGCGTTGCGGCTCCAGGGGGGTGGGGGCAATGTCAACCAGATTCAGCCAAGACAAGACATTGCCAGGCTGATGGACTCTGATCCTACACCTCCGCATGAGCCCCATTTGTTTCTGTGGCCATGAAATAAGTAAGACGAAACATTTTGCGTTGGCAAATAATAAGTCTTCGAGACGGTGGAGGCTGTCAATCATGATGGTCAGTCGCAGCCAAGGCAAAGCCAAGCACAGCAAATGACCACATCATTAGTCTTGTACTGTAGATTCAGGTAGACCACTGAGGTAAGAAGATCCAAATCAAAACGGAGACCGTCCCCAATCTGCCTCGGCAGGTCATTAAGTAATGTCAATCGGTCAACCCATTCGTTCGCTCCAGTCCCCATTTGGCGGATGGATACACGGATAGAACCACGGGAATACGGATATTGTGCGGGTCAGGGTCACGGTATGGGCTCCTCCCCCCCTTCCCCCTTCCCTCAGGGCCCAAAGGGCGCAAAGAACCCATCCGCGCCATCGTCATTATCGGGTTTGGCATGGATGTGTAGAGTGGGTTGCATATGCGGATGCCGTTGTCTGTGTAGCGTGTGCTGTGGATGCGAGGAACTGGAGAGGTAAAGGAGGGCAAGGCACTCGACATCGGAGAGAGAGACTCTGAGAGAAACAGCAGAGGAAACCCCAGATGGGCTCCTGCGGCGCTACGTAGATAGGCGAGGGCGAACTTCCCCATGTCGCGTTTCCTTTTCTCCAGAGACCAAGCCGTGGGCGGTTCCAGAGAGAAGCAGGGAGTCAGGGACGAGGGAAGGGACCACTTGGGGCAGTCCTGTCGCGTGAAAAGGTGGCTCTCCCGCACAGAAGCAGAGCGCCGGTTTGCAGCCAAGCAAATATCGCATCATTCACTCCACACAACCTCCAGTGTGTCTCATTCGTCCGTCTGCGAAGGAGCGAGTCGGGGTTGGAACCCCCATGTTCCTGCTCCAAAGCCCCCCGTTCACGCCCTCTGCCTCTGATCCTGTCTCGCCTGCCAACCCCGTGCTGCACTGTGCTGTGCTGTATCATTTGGGATTGATCATTGACTGCGGCCACGACGCACCACCAATACGCCCCTCCTGAAGTACCCGCAGCAAGGGCATTTCAGGCCCGTAGGCTGTGGGCGACAGACGAGGGGATGTTCGGTATCCGTACGTTGACAATTTTGGCAAGTATAAGACATGGATGGCCAAGAATGAAGCTGCCAGCCTGCTCGTGTTGCCTGCCAATGCTTGTCAGTCAGTGACCAGCGCCAATGCCAATAATACACCAGTTGACAAGGCACTACGTGGATGCTAATGCCGACACCAACGCTTGTTTGTCATCAAATTTGCTGTTACTTTCACCTACAATGTACATGTCTAATGTGTACGTATTGGATTGGCTAAGACGATGCCTCCCACAAGATGACGGCAATGGCACTGGTCTTTTTTTTTTTTTTTGGTCTCCATACCCGCTCGTGTTGATCGTTGCTTGCCATGATTGAGAATTTGACACTGCCGGCTTGTCGAGCAGAAAAATGTTGTAGGCTTCTTCCATTGGGGGTTCTTCCCGGGTTCCACGACCCGCGGCTTCGGGCGACTCTTGATCGCTGTGGTGGTGTCCCTAGCAGGGTCTGCGGTCTCTTCAGTCATTTGTCGCTTCGGCCAGGTCCGGACCACGAGGTGGTGCTGCCTTGGCCTTGAGCGAGTGGCAGGTCGCAGACGAGGCAAGCAGGTAGCGAAGTCGCACGTCGATGCTCCAGTCTTGTGCAGCAGCCGATGATGGGCACAGAATGCCTTCCCGTCTGATGTGCTTTGGTGCGCGGGTTGATGTGCAGTGCAAGCTAGGCGCACTGGGCAAGCACCACACCGAAAAGGGAGGGGGGACAGGATCCAGATGGCAGGGTAGGGCAGGGCTCATCGGTGTTGGATGACAAGGGCAAGCGGCCGATGAGGGTGAGAGAGAGTGATGAGACTACTATAGTACGGAGTATGCGAGTGAGAGTGAGTGGGTAAGAATCCGCGAGATGAGGGTGTCTTGTCAGTCGGGTGGGACCCCCAGACAGATGCATGGAAGCCCCAAGTGCCCCCAGAGAAGCGGTCTCCACTCCAAGGTAAACCAGTAGTAGGTATCCATACTTTGGAGGTTTGTTCCGTCCAGCGTCCCATCTACGTAGTACTGTAGGGCGCGAGGATCGGTGGCATCCATCGCCAGTGTGTCCCCGAATACTCGCTCAAATGCTGAGCACCTCCTTGGCGGCCGTCCTGCTAGGTCACCTGTAACCCGTCGTGCCCAGAACATCATGGCTATGAAGTGTGTACGGATAGGCCTGTGCCCATGGTCGTTTCTTGGCTGCGCACCGTCTTGGCCGCAACCCTCGCGAATACGGCTTGCTGAATGGACGCGGGATATTGGACGCCGGCGTGGTTTGGGCTTGGCCAGACTGGTGCACTGATGCATAGGTAATATTATTGTTGCTTCCGCTATCGCTTGTTGAGGGAGGAATCCGAGGATGCCAAGCGGCGCTCTTCATCTTGCTGCATCGCCCAGTATGCTGTCGATGAGATCAAAGCAGTGGTAGGAAGACGCAGTCACGGAGTTACGCAGTGTAAGGTAAGCTCAACGTACATTTGATGTACTAAGTACCGTCCAAGACAAGTTGCCTTGGCTTCCATGTAGAATGTAGAATGCAAGGTAGAATGTACCGACGTTGGTTCCTCCTGCCTGCCTGCCTGCCTGTCTCCCTGTGCCTTCCTGCCAGCGTTGCTGTATTCCCAGCGGATTGTGTCCTCATAAGGAAGGAAAGCATGCCGCCACCGGACCCCTCCATCATTTCTATTGCCGTGGCCGTGGCCATTCTCAGTCTCAGACTCACCACCAAGCCTGGACCAATACTCGGCTACCAAAGATTGCCTGTCTCCTTCTCCCCAACACACCCGTTCATTCGTTGCCTCTCCTGTCCCACTCTAAGGTATCTATCATATACCTTGCCTTGGGTACTCTCGGGTGTACCTTATTCACTATTCGTACCTTATCCCTTTCCAGGCCCAACGACGGCAGCAGTAAAAAGATACATGTCTTCCACCCGCGCTTCGTACCCCGTACCTGACTGACCTGCAACTGCAACTGCAGACCCTCACACTCCCCCTGGTCCACAGTCCCCAGTCCTCCAACACGGCACACCGATTTTCCCCACCCACTTTCCTACAGTGCTTGCTTCCACTCCCACACCCGGCCGAGGCGGAAAATAGCTCTTTCTTGAGCGTCTTTTTTTTTCTTTTTTTCTCTCCCCAACTCCCACACCCCTCTAAGCGCAGCGGGGTCCTTCTTCGAGCTTGTCTTCATCCAAATCAAGAACCCGTCCCCCCCTACTACTCTGCGAGCCAACTTTCTCTGCGAAGCGATTCAAAACTCGCAGCCTTCCCACCTCCCAAGACCAGGTTGATGTAAGGGTGGACGCCTGAATTATTTTCATGCCCTCCTCTCCTCTCTTTCTACCCTTCCTTTGACCTAATCCTCGACTAATATCTATCTCAAACACCTCAAACTTTTACCTCATCGCCATTGGCGACCTTGGTCATTACGCAGACGAGATCCAGCAAGAAGGAAAACGTTGATCGGCAAATTCACCTTGCTTTTCTACATATACAGCCTCTGGCACCTGCAGTCTTCCACAAACCCTACGCAAGTCACCCCGATACCAAGACGAATTCCTTCGACAAGGACCCGGACCCGACATCCAGTTTGCTTGCTTCTCCCGACACCTCACACCAGAAACCGCATACGCTCGCGTGCGCAGACACACAAAGAGCTTTCCGCCTGACCAGGGAGTATACGCGGGCGAAAGGGCCGGTCTATTCTGCAGTCGCTTCTGTATTCAAAAAAAAAAAGCCTCGTCGTGTTTTTGATTCGACGGGGAAATCGACCAACGCCGGACAACAACCCGACGCAGGATAATCGCATGCAGCCACAAGCAATGGGATAAAGACCAAGGAAACTCAACCCTCTTGTCTTTTCCCTTTCCTTTGCGTCCCCGGATATTAGCCTCCAAAGCTCACGATTTCCTAACAATAACCTACCTCACCAACTTCGACTCAACTTGACGCTTAGGTTGTCCTTCACGTTTGGTGCTTCAGGGCCGATAATATTGGGGACACACTACTCGCGCGTCGCCCAACCTCTCCCCTCCATTCGTCAAGGCCCAGGCCAAAGAATTGGAGACTCCTCGGAAACGCCGCGGACTACTTGGCTCTCCAAGAAACCATCCGGTACCGATACCAGCACCAGCACCAGCACCAAGCGCTTTCTCTTGGTGGTGTGTGGCTCAATTACGTATTGGCCCATACTTGATCAGAGCACCCTCCTCCGCTGCCGTCGCTGTGCCCACCGGCACCACCCCGAACAGCGATGGCGACCGTCCTCACCAGCATGGCGGTGCCCCAACCCGCTTCCATCCCCCAAGGTACGTCCAAACGTCTGATGGTCGCTGAACCCTGGCTGCACTTCCGTCATTCAGCAGCTGCTCCAAACCCGCCCTGTTTCCGTCCGCAGCACCCTTGAAGGCGTCCATCGCTAATAAACGCTTGCGATTCTAGACACGCAACATTCCGCCGAGCAACAAAACTCGAGTAGCCTGTCCTCGTCTCCCCGCCAATTTCCCACCGATCTTACTTCTCCCATCCTCGAAGAAGCCGATGAGTCTGAAAGCGAGTCTCCGAATGAACCTGTGACCCCCATCAGTAGCGGGAGACAATCCCAAGAGTTCACCACCCGCCCCAGCCAGGACCATCACGACATCAATCTCACCACTACCCATCAGGTGCAGACCACCCCGAAACCTCTCCTAGTCGACACCGCACCCACCCCCTCGGTTTCGCCTGCAAAGTCAGACATCACACCAAAGGCCACTAACACTTCAACTGCAGCCGAATCTGCTGCTGCTGACCAAGAACCGCCACCAACTCCGCTGTCAAGACGGCCCACACGAGGCTCTACTTCAAGCTTTAAGCGGACAATGTCCAGCATTTTCCGACGATCCAACTCTTCCCAAAACAGACCAGATCTCGGATTTACCTTGGACCAGTCCAACGACGTCTCCTCTGAGAGTGCATTGATTGACACGGCACCCTCAAACCGTAGACGGTTCTCAATGAACAAGTCACACACCACCACGAGGTCTAACTCGCCTCCGTCGCCAGGTTCTCCCGTCGACACCATTTCTTCCTGTAAGCAAGCTTCGTATATGCCTACTCAAGATGACTTCAAGAAGAAGAACAGGGCTTCGACTGGCCTTAACCTACGAGGACGTGCTGTCAACTTCGTCGGCGCCAATGTTTCCGGTCGGGAAAAGCACGCGGAGAAGGTCAAGCCTGTCCTGGGCAGAAGACGTGCCAGCAGTTTCGAGGGTCGTGTGAAGAGCCGTCATCTGGCAGCCGCACCCAATCCCCATTCCGACAACCCTGTTCTTCCCTTGGAGGGATCGTCTCCCTGGGCTCAGATGCCTGACGCTGGTGTCGGTGTAAAGGCTCGTCGCATGAGTTTGAGTCTACCGGACGACTTCCAAGTCGATGTCGCCGACCTCCTCGCGGAGTTCGAGTACCTTTCCAAGTTTGGCCGCCACGGCAAACATCTCGGAAAGGGTGCTACTTCCAAGGTCACTATGATGAGCCGCAAGGGTTGCCCCAACGAGCTCTACGCGGTCAAGGAGTTCAGAGCCAAGAGGAAGCAGGAGACTCAGGAAGAGTACGAGAAGAAGATCAAATCTGAGTACAGCATCGCCAAGAGCCTACACCACCCCAACGTGGTCGAGACGATCCGACTTTGCACCGACCATGGTCGTTGGAACCATGTTATGGAGTATTGCTCGGAGGGCGATCTCTTTGGGTTGATTGCTAAGAAGTACCTTCAAGATCCGGCGAGACTGCCTGATCGCCTCTGCTTGTTCAAGCAACTTGTCCAGGGAATCAACTACCTGCACAGCAACGGCATCGCTCACCGCGACATTAAACTTGAGAATCTCCTCATCACCAAAGACAGCAAGCTCAAGATCACCGACTTTGGTGTCTCGGAAGTCTTCACTGGCCACCACCCCGGCTTCAGAGAAGCTGGTGGCCAGTGTGGCAAGGGCATGTGTGACGAGATCCGTCTGTGCAAGCCGGGTATGTGTGGTAGCGAGCCATACACAGCGCCAGAAGTGCTGCTGAAGAAGTCTGAGTACGACCCACGGGGTCTCGACGTGTGGAGCGCGGCGTGTGTCATGATTTATATGGTTTTTGGGGGAAACATCTGGAGCAGAGCCGAGGCACAAGGCAATCCACAGTATGCCGAGTTGCTCAAGGGATGGCAGAAGTGGGACGCAAAGCACCCGGAGCCTGGAGCACGCATTACAGAGTCGGATTACCCATTCATGAATGCGTTTGACGGATTCGTCTCCCCGCCAGCACTCCGCCGTGTGCTTCTCTCAATGCTCAACCCCAACCCTGCCAAGCGCGCCACCATTTCAGAAATCGCCAACCATCGCTGGGTCAAGAACATTGAGTGTTGCCAGCTTGAGAACTACGACGACCCAGCCCTCCTCATTGACGCTACCAAAAAGGGCAGCGCACAGCTCAACACCAAGAAGGTGTTCTGCCACAACCATCTGCCATTGGAGAGCCACGGCCACTCACTAGGAAAGATGCCGGGGCAGTCAGGCTATTGACTGCACCCGGAAACGACTGTACGACTCATTACGTGTTTGTTTTTCTGCATAGCTGCGGTTCTATCCTTTGGAATCGGTTCCAGTTTATGAGCATGCAGGAAGACATGCTTTTTTACATGCGGCGTTCACAAAGGGTCGAGGAAAAGGGCCCGGCACAAGGGAAAGGAATGGGCCAGTTTTGTGTTTGATTACAGCCCATAATTACCTGGGGAAGCAACAA